TGATTCTCCAGTTATGCTCCTGAGCCCAGTGGCATCAGCATCACCTGGGAACTTAGAAATGCAAATCACTGGGACCCCACTATATACATACTGAGGCCAAGATCTGAAAGTGGGCCTGGCAATCTGAATTAACAAACCCTTCAGGTGATTCTGATCTATGTTACAGTTTGAGAACCACTGATTTATGGGATGACCTGAGAGGGCTCTTGCAATTGTTTAGCTAAAGGTTATGAAGATGTGACCATTAATCTGGTGGCAGTGGGAGGAGACAAAGTTATGGAGGGAGAATTTATAGAATTATTGCTAACTAATTAGACTTGAGATATAATGGAGAAGATAGTAGTTAAAGCTATTTGAGTCCATACACAGGTATCTGGTTGAAGGATGGTGCCATGAACAAAGATACATGTCAGAGAGGGTGGTTTGTGAGAGGGTGGGTGAGATGATAGCCTTGCTCTTGGTGATGCTGACCGATATGGTGAAAAAACATAAAGTAGCCTTGGCCAGCAGATGGTTAATGTACAGGTCTGGCCTTCTGAACAGACATTTCAGCTGAAGAAATAGCTAAAGAAATCACCTGTTTGTATTGAATCTGAAGTTGAACCTATAGGAGTGGGGAATACATCTGCTAAACTCCCCCCGTTTTAAAAAATCTGATAGTTTACAATTACAGAGTTTAAGTTTTTGTCCACTGCCTCCTTAATTAAAAATAGTGGGGTGAGTTAGGTTTGATCATTGCCAAGTTACCGATGAGAAAACAGATTTACCGAGGGTCGCACAGCTTGAGTGGTATAGCCGGAACAGGTGTTCAGGCCTTTCTGACTCTGCTTTTGCTATAATACCACATGGCTTCATGACAGATATCTCTACTTGACTTTTGAGGTGTGTTCTGTCTATGCAGGCCTGCACTTACAGTCTGAAGCAGCCACGGGTGTGCCAGGAGGCACTGATGTGTGCAGAGTTAAGGAGAAATGGGCAGGGCAGGAAATTTTAATCAAAAGCAGCTAAAATTGAAAATGAAATCTTTTGGCTACCTGGGTAAGATGGCTGTTCTTTAGAGCACATTCAGTAATTTAATCAATATTGGACTGCAGACTATATGTGGGTACCATGATGGACTCATGGGAAGAGAATTATTCTGGCTCTCTTGATCTCCTGTACAGCATAGATGCAGAGCTCTTATGCAGTGATATATTCAAGCTGAAAGCCCTGAACATAGTGACATTTACAAAGTGGAGCACTCTAAATTATCTTTGTCATTTGAGAGACTGCAAAAACTCTAACCTTTCTAAACCATGATATTAATTATAGTCATTGCTCTTTATTTTCAGTAAACATGTTTCATGAAGTAATTATCCACTCTTGGAACACTTGCCCTCTGATATTTGCGATATTGTCTGAGTTTGCAAACTAATTTTAATGTTATCATGAACCTAACAGTGTGAAGAAAAATGTCCAATGCATTGAATTCTCTGATGTATTTCTCTCTGTAAACATAGACAAGAGTTGATTAGGTGGAATTTAGGTCAGTTACCGCTTTCAAAATGTGCACAAAAACTCTTATGAGGGAGCTTAACCTTTTCTTATGTATTCTTTCAAAATTACTGTTATTCTAGTCTGGATTTCCTCATCAGCTTGAATAATTATAAAAATCCCTAACAACTTGTTTCCCTTTTCTTCAGTGTGCATCACACATTAAAGATAGGAGCATAACTCTATTGACTCTGTTCCCTCTGGGGGGAAAAAATAGGAGCATAACAAAGTACTGTGAAAAGACTCCTAACTCACTAAAGGTTGGGTTGGTCCTGAAATGTGTGCCCATCATTGTTAAATGATCTTTGTTAAGCGTCCCAGAAGAAAAACAACAAAATTCTAAATTAGCTTGATGATTTGGGATGCATGACTAACTTAACCTAGTTTAAGGTAAGACACTTGGATGTGTTACAAATCTTTTTATGCTAACATTTTTCCTGGATTTGGTTAATAAGTGAGTTCATGATATTTACTGCATTTCTTTTTAAAAATATTTGTTTCAGCTATGAATTTGTGAAATACCTTAGAGAGCATATATGTGACACATTGGGGTCTATGATTGAAGAAGAAATGGAAAAATGGACATCTGATCAGAACCAGCGTGAGGAATCTGGCTATGACACAGTTGTACAGCATGTTACTAAAAGAACTCAGGAATCTAAAGAGTGAGTATGCCCACAATAATATTTTAAAGTAATTTGTCTTTCAACAGGCCTCCTTGAAAGCACCTGTAACCCATGCCCCGCCTCACCTCCCCCCAGTCTGTCTCCCTCATAGCAGCCATAATGATTAATTCAAACAATTAGTCGGNATTTCTGAATGGCAGCAAGTGGCTGGAGCCATAGAGAAGCTGTTCCTTTTAGCTGACCCATGTCCTTTTAGTTCACCACACCCTCTATTCTTTCTTATTACGGCTTGCTTTACTTTACCTGTCTACCCTTCATAACATCTGAGTTTGCAATCCCTCGAATTAGTATAGGATCTTTTGAAGGTCTCTTTGAGGCATCCAGTGGTTTTACTTTTATACAGAATAAGTAGAATATTGCTACACTTCCCGAATAATTTCCTAAAATGATTCAATGAGTTGATTAGAAATCTGTAGTCATCAACAATCTTTTAGGTTAGATATACAAGACTTCATAAAAGCAAATGGATGACACTTGTAATACTATCAGGATTACAATGAAGGCAACACAGTACTTAATTTTATAGTAATATTTCTCCTAGCCCATAACAACAGTAATTTTCTATCTTGAGACACCATTATAGAACAACAATATAACTTCTAGGATTTTTATTGGGTATTGCCATGACTTCAGATGGTGAGAGAACCAACACAAAATGAATTGTCAGATGAGTATTTGAAGACTTGGGTTACTCTTACTCAAAAAGAAGGCCCACTTGAAGAAATGACTCTGTTCACTGATTTGGGATTGAAGGCTCACAGGTTTCCCATGATCAGTGAGTCAGTAGAGCATTCTAAGTCCTAGTAGCACTTGCATAATAGAGGGCCTTACTCTCCCTGGAGATCTTTTTTCTTAAACAATTCATTCAAAAACAGCAGTAACCTCTTAGGCAAAATTCAGTCTTGGAGTACTTAGGTTCATTTAACTTGAAAGGTGAACTAAAACCTTGACGTACATAGAAGGGGGTCTTCTGAGAGAGATGACTGTGGTGTAAAAATGTCATTAGAAAAAAGTGTGGTTATTCAAGTTCCCAAAGAGTAGATTTAAGAATTTTCCAGCCTATTTGCTATTTACAGCTGATGTTAAATTGTGGGCGTGTTTTTTCCTTTTTTTTTTTCTGGTGTGTCTTTTATAATGGTAGTCTCTTAACTTGCTTGGATACATTTTCTTAATGGGCTTGTGTCATATTTCCTCACTGCCTTAGTTATGAACATGTCATTTTTGTAGTTCACAGCTTGGGCTTTAAACAAAGCAAACCCAAAAGTTAATTTTTTAAGTAAAATATCAATTTTTCCTACTTACCTGATTTGTGGCACAGAGATGGGGCTGATGAAGCTAAGAAAGAAGGATAATTTTGTCTTTCCGTAGTGGGTGTTGATGGTGGGATGTAGAATTCATCTTCAGAGAGGCTGTCCCTTCAGTTTCAGAAAAATAACTCAGGCTTGCTTACCTTCCATTTCCCACTGAGTATCCCAGATGTGGAGGAAAACTGGTGTGTCCGACTGCTTAGGCTTGGGTAGCATTGTGAAGAGAATAAAGATTGTTTTTAAATACCTTTCATCTCTCTGCTGCATTTTCTTCCACATTTACTTTTCCCTTTCCAACATCTCTCTTCAGCATTTTCTTCCACATTTACTTTTCTTTTCCCTTTCCAATAGGAAGAGGCTGGATGTGAGGTCACACTGATTGGCTGAAAGGATTCTCTTCCTGGATCCTTTTTCATTTTGAAAGAATTTGAAAGAAAGCACTGATAGTTTTATGGTATTTAAATTTCAGATATTCTGATTCTTTATTCAGAAGGTTCCTGGTTGTGGTGTGATCCTTGTGGAGAACACACATCTTTTTGGGCTCTTCAGATCTCGTCACTCGCATCTGCCAATTCTATCTCAATGCCAGCTGTGTGTGTGTGGAGGCAGTATAGGGACTGTCAAATGTTAAAAAATTGAGAACATCTTTACAGGATTCGCTCGAAAACCTTAATCTTTGTTTCTCCTCATCTTCTTGGTTTTCACCATTTTGTATAGACTATGCAAAGATTTGGTTTATAATTAGAAATGTACAATCTAAAAAGTAAATTAACAGAGTGGATGGGAAGTTTGCTTATATAATGGTAGATCTTCAAGTAATATAAAACGATGATGAATCACTGGAAGAAGCAAAAACTGCTTAGATGATTAGAGGCTTAAAAGTTACTAGCTTTACTAAATATTAAACATTTAAATTCAATGAATAACAAAATTAATAAGTAAATTATACTTTTCAATGTAATATGTTAATTATAATNAGGTGCTCACATATTTTCATTTGTCTTCCTTTTCACTGACTTAACTCTCTGAACAGTAAATGTTCTTAGGTCACTTAAGTATATACTGCTTTCCAAGGTGTTTCATACTTCAGAATATCTGTCCTCCCATCTCCACTATCAGAACATTGCTTCCTTAAATCCACTTGTTGTATTAGCAAGAAAAATAATCGTATTAAACAGACTTACAGGGAAAACTCGTGTCTCTAGGCTATTGGCGTTTTTGTAAGAAAATAGTTGTTAAGATAATAAGAGTCCATAAGTAATAGAATTTTGGGTAGTATAATAAAATGTGGGGAGAATGCAGTCATTTGGGGAGAAACCATAGTGTAGGCAGTCTAGCATTATCTGGGGATTTGCCCCACAGGGCAGCACCCTAAACGATTGATATATCTGCTTTCCATACCCTCTTCTATTTTTCTGCCTTAAACTGTACATATTCGCTAAAGGATCCAAGCTTTCCCCCTTTTGTCTGACAGTGGCAGCAAGGATTTGAGGCCTGTGGGAGGGGAGAGAGGTAGAGGAGAGACATTGCTTTTGTTATGTGTGTATTTGTTGTGTAAATTTTATACTTGGACTGTCCCCCTGTAAAACAGCCCTGGGTTTAATCTGGCTACACTAGAATCAGTTGGAGGCCCTTACTGATGATGGGCCTTGCCATAAATGAATTGCCTGGGGGCTTGGCAGAAGAGGCTTGGTAGAGGCTGGGCCTTGGTGTTTTTGGAAAGCTCTCTAGGTGGTTCTAAAATATAGCTAGGTGGATTTACTTCGTTTCAGTGAGAACTGTGTTATAGTGGTCTCTCCTTATTCAAGGGGGATACATTCATTCCACAACCCCCACTGAGTTCTGGAACCTAGGATACTACCAAGCCCTATATGTACTATGTTTTTTCCTATACATACATACATAACCTTTTCACTTAAAGGAAGCACTTTACAGCTTCCCTTTGGCATATCCGAATTGCCAGCATCACTACTCTTGTGCTTTGGGGCCATTATGAGGTAAAGTAAGGTTTACTTGAACTCCAAGCACTGCGAATTGAAGCTGTTACCAAGTGATTAATGGGCTTTGTCTTAGAGTGGACATGCTGGACAAAGGGATGAGTCACGTCTGGGGAGAAATGGAGCAGGAAGGCGAGGGATTTCATCGTGGTACTCAACGCATGATTTAAAGNGATAACCTTTTGCCATCTTTCAGTGAGCTTCATAATTCCTTGATCATAGAAGGACCTGTCTTTATTTGTGAACAAGTGAACAAGTTGTTCATTTACAGCCTCATCTGAAATGAACGTCATACCATGGAAGGAGTTTTGAAGAGAGCCAAACAAGTGGAAGTCTGACGGTACAAGGTCCAGCGAGTATGGTGGGTGTGGCAACACATCCCATCCAAGCTCCAATAATTTTTGACAGGTGATCAGACTTGTGTGTGGTCTCATGTTGTTGTGATGGAACACAACTCCTTTACAATTAACAAGCTCTGGACGTTTCTGGATGATGGATTTGTTCAAACTGTCCAGTTGCCGACAGTACACATTCAAATTGATTGTTTGGTTCCTTGGTAGGAGCTCGAAAAACACAACACTTCTAAGATCCCACCACACTGAGAGTATAACCTTCCTCTGATGAATGTCTGCTTTTGATGTTGTTTGAGATGAATCATCACATCGGGACCAAGACTGTTTGTGCACCACATTGTAGTAACAAACCACTTCTCATCACCAGTTATCAGTAGCTTCAAAAAAGGATTGTTTTCCTCATGTTTAAAGAGCATATTGCAGATATTTATACACACCATCAAATGAACTTCTTTGAGTTCATGCAGAACCCAAATATCGAGCTTGCTTGCATATCCCAGCTTCTTCAGGTGGTCATGAACGCTTGAATGATGGATGTTCAATGTTTCTGCAATCTCTTGTGTTGTGTAACGTGGGCTTGACTCGATCAATGCCTTTATTTTGTCATCATCAACCTCGGTGGGCCTCCTTGACCGAGGAGTATCGTTGAGATCAAAATCACTAGCACGGAATTTTGTGAACCATCATTGGCACTGACCTTCTTTTAGTGCATTGTCACCGTAAAGTTGATGAAACTTTTCAGAAGCTTGACCTGCGTTCTTCCCTCTATGGAAGTAAAACAGGAAAATATTGCAAAATGCACAGTTTGGTCTTCCATCTTCAACTTGTAAAATCTCTAAAACTCAACCAAATTGCTCATTTTTTTTTAAATGAAGCTAGAACTGTTAGCTGTCCAATGATATAGCAATAACATAGATGCGAATGACCCTAGTATTTCCAACAATGAACTAGTGCCATCTGTTGCAAACATGCGTCATGACTTTTCCTAAGACCCAATAACTAGCACTTATCGATTGTGAAATTTATGCCAGGCCCTGTGTGTTAGGTGCAGGGCATATATTATCTAGAATCTTTATAATGATTTCCAGCATACTGTGTGCAATCACAAGATACGACCAATGTTTAAATT